GAGAAGTTTTCCAGAAAGTACAAGACCAAGGATGTCAGTTTAAAGACTAAGATGAACTTGACTCGAGGCACTGTATTTTCAGTTACTTCATACATATGAAAATTAACCAGTGAGTAAGGAAGGCCAAAGAAGAATCAATGCCTTTGAATTACAGCATTGGAGAAGATGGAATATCCCATGGACTGCCAGAAGAGCAAATCTGTATGAGATGAAACGCAGGCAGGGTGTTCCTTAGAGGCAAGGATGGTGAAACGTCATCTCACGTACTTTAGGCATATTGTCCAGAGGGCCAGTCCTGGGAGAAAACATGCGAGAAAAAGTGGAGAGTCAGAGAGAGAGAGGAAGATCGTTCCTGAGCTGGGCTGACACAGTGGTTACAATAGTGGGCTTGATCATAATGAAGGGAGTGAGGATGGCACGGGTAGGGGGAGGTTTCATAGGAAAGCTAAAGGGTAGAGTCTGCTCTGTGGCTCCTGATGGCCTCTCCTTCTCTCCTTTCCCATATCCTCTCTGTAAAAGTAGGACTCTGCTAACACCATTCTAGAAAATCGCCTCTGCTTTGAAATGAGGCACGGCAAGTTGATGTTTGTTATTCAGACAGTTTAGGGAAAGCATTAATACAATAAAATCAGCTTATGTAATGAGGATTTGAATTCAAATGTTATATAGTTCCAGAAATACTTTTATAATATATCTTGATTCTTCTTGAAAACCTAAAAAGCAACAGGTAGAAACACTATGTCCCTTCATCTGAACTTATTTAGCCTTTTAACAACCACTATATATATGGAGAACAACCACTTGGCCAACTGACTGGAAGAGGTCTATATTTGTTCCCATTCCAAAGAAGGGCGACCCAACTGAGTGTGGAAACTACAGAACAATATCATTGATTTCACATGCAAGCAAGGTTCTACTGACGATTATCCAAAAATGACTGGAACAGTACATCAGCAGAGAACTGCCAGAAGTCCAGGCTGGGTTTAGAAGGGGCTATGGTACTAGGGATATTGTTGCTGATGTTAGATGGATCTTAGCTGAAAACAGAGAATGCCAGAAGAATGTCTATCTGTGTTTCATTGATTATGCAAAGGCATTTGACTGCGTGGATCATAACAAACTGTGGCTGACTCTGAGAAGAATGGGAATCCCAGAACATTTAATCGTGCTAATGCGAAACCTATATTTGGACCAAGAGGCAGTCATCAGAACAGAGCAGGGCAACATTGCATGGTTCAAAATTGGGAAGGATGTACGCCAGGGATGTGTCCTGTCTCCATACCTTTTCAACCTGTATGCAGAGCAGATTATCCGAGAGGCAGGGATCTATGAGGAGAAGCGTGGCGTTAGGATTGGTGGACGATCTATCAACAATCTGCATTATGCAGATGACACAACCCTGCTCGCTGAAACTGAGGAGGACCTCATGCACTTGCTGCAGAGGGTCAAGGACTCCAGCCTTCAATATGGACTGAGACTTAATGTCAAGAAGACAAAAATTCTCACCACTGGACCAATCGGTAGCATCAGGATGGATGGTGAAGAGATTGAGATTGTTCACAGCTTCAGTTTGCTCGGCTCCACAGTCAACACTCTTGGCACCAGTAGCTAGGAAATAAAAAAATGTATTGCGATGGGAAAGTCTGCGGTTAGGGACTTCTCTAAAGTACTCAAGAGCAACAGTGTCTCTCTGGAGACTAAGGTGCGCCTTGGTTTTTGCAATCACTTATTATGCATCAGAGAGTTGGACAATGACTAGGGAGGATAGAAGGAGAATTGACGCCTTTGAGCAGTAGTGCTGGAGAAGAGTATTGAATGTACCATGGACTGCCAAGAAAACAAATAGATTCATCCTAGAGAGGGTTAAACCAGGCTGCTCCTTGGAGGCAAGGATTCTGGGGCTTCTCCTGACATACTTTGGACATGTTGTAAGGAGAGACAGGTCTTTAGAGAGGGACATCATGCTGGGCAGAGTGGAGGGACAGCGCAGGAGGGGAAGACCCTCTATGAGGTGGATTAATTCAGTGACTGGGGTAATCGGGATGGGTGTGTCAGAGGCAATGAGATTGGCACAGGATAGAGCAGGATTTAGGGCTGTTGTACGTAGGGTCGCTATGAGTCGCAAACGACTCAACGGCACATAACAACAACATATATATATGGGGGGGGGGGAGCACCAGTGTCCCCAAGGGTTGACAAAATGACATTGCAGTTCAGAAGCACTTAAGAAACTTCTGTCTCCACTAAGTCATCTGTATGTCACTGTTTTCTAGTGTATACACTGAAAAAATCCCCTGCAGGGATGTGCTAATAACATTGTACAGAGGAGCCTCGACTTCCTCGGGAATCTTAAGTCTTCTGTCAAAAGTCAGAACTGAAGGGTTGAATTTAAAGAAAGTAATTGAATTATTGACTTCTAGGACCACCCAAGAAAGTGTATGGTTGGGTTTAACTCCATGTTTTACAGAATACCGCATAGTTAATTCTGATTAAAAAGAAGCCTGGATTTTTACAGATAAGTGGGTATTTCCAGTGACTTTATACTTTCTGGAGGCACTAATAGATACTCTTATCTATTGGGTTTTCTTGAAGACTTAACTCTTGTAAAGAGGCATTGACCTCTTTTCCTGGGGTGCAAATCTTCTGAGCGTTATAGAGGGTAAAGTTTTATTTATGAAATTTCTAAACACATACATAATTTGGAATTTATTAATGTGACCATATTGGACACTCTTCAGAAGTATAAAATTATGTTGGCTCCTGGGCCTGATTTAGAAACGTCTTTCCTTTGTAAATTATAAAGTCCTCTAAGATTTCACTTAATGTAAATCTCAGGCCTTGGTGATGTCCGCAGTACAATTGTCCGTTCACCGCTTCTCTGCAAGCCAGTGGGGAACACCTGAAAGCCAAACAGCAAGCGCAAGTTCAGCCCAGAATTCTCAGTCATTTCTGATTCAGGACCTTCTTTCCTTCCCAGTCAGTGCACCCCTGAGCCTAGGAGTTCCCTTTAACAGAACTAGAAGAATTTTATTGACATTTCCTACATCTTACTCTTGTGGAATAGGTTGATTTTATTTTTGTTTTTACCTTATTTATTACATCATTGGTACCAGCAGTCAGAAGATCAGGAGATGCATTGCACTGGGAAGATCTGCAGTTAGGGGCCTCTCCAAATTATTGAGGAGTAATTATGTCATTTTGAGGACGAAGGTTTGCCTAATTCAGGCCATGGTCTTTCTGATCACTTGCTGTTCATTTGAGAGATAGACAATGAATAAGGATAACAGGAAAAGGATTGATGCCTTTGAGCCATGTTGTTGGAGAAGAGCACTGAACATCTCATGGATGGTCAAAAGAACAAACAAACATGTCTGCAAATGGGTGCAACAGGAGTGCTCTTTGGAGGCAGGAATGATGAGACTTTGCCTCACATACTTTGGGCATGTTGCTAGGAGGGGCTGTTCCTTAGAGAGGGACATGATGCTGGGAAGGGTGGAGGGTTGGAGAGGAAGACCAAGTGGATTGACTCAGTGACTGAGCAGTGAGCTCTAGTGTATCAGGAAGTGTGAGGGTTGTACAGGATAGAACAGAGTTCAAATCCACTGTTCACAGGGTCGCTCTGAGTTGTACTTAACTCGACAACAAAAACCTTGTTTATTCCCCTGTCCTTCCTTCCTGCTTCCCTAAAATCATTCACTAAAGTTTCAAGCCAGACTTAGTCTAACCAGAAGCCGTCGATCACTTCATTGGTGGTGGAAGTCTTGATTGCACAGGGTCCAGGCAAAGCCCCCATGGACACTGCTCTGCTTGCTAGCCACATCTGGTGACATAGTTGACTGGAAGAGATCCTTATTTATTCCCATTCCAAAAAGAGGGGATCCAACAGAGCGTGAAAGTTATCAAACAATATCACCAATACCACACACAAGCAAAATCTTGCTGAAAACAAGCTAGGTTTAGAAGAGTCTGTGACACAAGTGACATCATAGCCAGGGTTAGTTGGGTCTTGGCCAAAAGCAGAGAGTACCAGAGGAATGTCTGTCTGTGTTTCATTGACTATGCAAAGGCATTTGACTGTGTGGATCACAACAAACTGTGGCTAACCTTCAGGAGAATGGGAATCCCAGAACACTTGATTATGCTTATGTGAACCTATGCTTGAACCAGGAAGCAGTCCTCAGAACAGAGCAAGGACCTGCATGGTTCAGAATCAGGAAAGGAGTGCATCAGGGATGCATCCTGCCTTCATACCTTTTCAATCTGTATGTAGACCAGATCATTCAGGAGACTAGACGTTATGAGGAAGAATGTGGCATCAGGGTTGGAGGAAGACTCATCAATAACCTGTGTTATGCAGATGATAAAACCTTGCTTGTAAGACTGTAGAAGAGATGAAGCATTTGCTGCAGAAGGTCAAGGTCTGCAGTATTCAATACAGATTGAAGCTTAACATCGAGAAAACAAATATTCTCACCACTGGGCCAGTTGGCAGCATCGTGATAGATGGAGAAGAGATTATTAAGGTTGTTAACAATTACAGCTTGCTCGACTCCACAATCAACACTCTCGGCACTGCCTGGCTTCACCCTCTCTGAGGCGAACTTGTTTTTTCTCCTGACTGTCCATGGTATATTCAATACTCTTCTCTAGCACCACAGCTCAAAGGCATCAATTCTCCTTCTGTCATCCCTTGTAATTGTCCAGCTTTCTGATGCATATAATGTAATTGTGACTGACATTGTTGCTCTTCAGATACATATAAAATCATATTTTCATTTTGGACAGTTCTTCCCCTCATCTGATCTAATGTGGTGTTCATTAACTGTCCATTCTTTTCTAGAATGAGGAAACTTTTAAAGTAAACCAAATCATTGTTTTCTGTTACTTTCCTTTGTAAATGACATAGTGTATCAGTTAACCCAGAGTGTTCCCCAAAAGCTAATTTGTCTAGAGCCTTGCTTTTTTTTACCTCTTTCCAATTCCACTTTCTTTTTCTCCAGTGTATGTTCCAGATGAGTGGGAGGTTGCTCGAGAGAAGATCACCATGAACAGAGAGCTTGGGCAGGGGTCCTTTGGAATGGTTTATGAAGGTGTTGCGAAGGGTGTGGTTAAAGATGAGCCCGAAACAAGGGTGGCCATTAAAACAGTGAATGAGGCGGCAAGCATGAGAGAAAGGATTGAATTTCTCAATGAGGCTTCAGTGATGAAGGAGTTCAATTGTCACCATGTGGTAAGACAAAATCTCTAAGCAGCCGAAGTCTGCTTGCTGCCCCAGAGCCCCCCACTGTATCTTCACCTGTAGGATTGATATATCACTCTCTCTGCCATGTAGCCCCACACCCCCGATGCCCCCAAGTGGCATTAGGCACCTGTACATGATGGTTCTGAATGCAGTTCAGCCCATAACCCTCCTAAACTCCTGCCCCCAGGTGTCACACCAGAGGGCAGCTGCCCCAGCAGGGTGGCCTGGGCAGCCCTCACCCTCCTGCTGCCCAGCCCTCACCCTCCTGCTGCCCAGCCCTCACCCTCCTGCTGCCCAGCCCTCACCCTTGGGCTCCTTCTCTTTTTCCTCTCAGGTGCGATTGTTGGGTGTGGTATCCCAGGGCCAGCCAACGCTGGTCATCATGGAACTGATGACTCGAGGGGATCTCAAAAGTTATCTCCGGTCTCTGAGACCGGAAATGGAGGTCAGTTTCTGTGTTGACTGCCTTTCTCCTGTGCTCTCCTTCCTGCCCTCTTGCTTTAGAATGCCTCTCAGGAAGTGCTGTGCCTGTGGGTCAGGACTCTTCATCATGGGATGTTTCCTTACTGCATGATTGGTTTAGCTGCTTCAGAGAAAAGATTTTCACAGCAAAAGATAACCCTTGATCTTTTGCAGGAGTTCCTCACCATTCCCAAAATAACTCTTTACCACCTCATTCCTTTATTACTGCATCCCCTTCAACTCCAGTTATGCCCCTATCCCCTTCCCCTAAAACCCACCTCCCAGACCATGTCAATCCTTCCTCCATGAAGCCTTTCCAATCTCCTACACCAAACACACCTGCCTCTTCTGCTGGTTTCTAGTACACCCCATTCATCTCCTCACACTTCTTGTCTTTGTCTTGCTCTCTCTCTGCATTCTGTACCTCCTCTGTTTTGTTCTGATTCCCAACCCAAACGCACTGTGCAAGTCAAAGCCATGTTCTTGGCAGGCATTCTTTCAAAAAATGCTGGTTAAAGCTGAATGTTAGGTTGAATTAATTTTCAGATGCTTCTAAAGTGACTTCCCCTCCAGCTCTGTAGCAAGGCCCTGCTCTCTCTGTGTCCATACACAGTGTACATACCACTTCCTCACAGGCAGCTAGGAAGCTTGTCTTCTCAACTCTGTCTCTCCATGTCAAGTAGGACTCCAAGTAATGTCTTGATTAAACTTTTAAGTGATAAACTTTTCAGCTGCACCATCTAGACCCAGTCTGATAATAATAGCAGTATGGGGTTTGTGTATAAAATTCAAGACCTAGTCATCTTGTGTAATTTTTCATCAGTCACTATGGCACCTCAGTTTCTGAAGTATGAACCTACAGGCCAGCTTCTTAACACATGAACATATGACTTACAAGTAATTAATTCCAAACTGATAGATAAATATGTAGTAACAGTAATGGCAGCAACCCCTTCTTCATGTGGCTGCCTCGCTTTGACACTGACTTTACTGCTTGTTTGATGGCATTCCCAGGGTGTCCCTCTGCTTCTCTTAATTTCTGTGCCCTTATTCTGTTGTTGGTGGGGTTTTTTTTATTTTATCAATTTTAATGAACATTTACAGAGATTTTGGATTTCCATTCATTCATTGTTGCACTTTTCTCCCTGCCCAGCCTGCCCCCACCTCCCAGCCCCCAGTTTGCTCCTCTCTTTGAAAAGCAAAAGAAAAATTCCTTCTTTGGTATACAATCCCACTGCCCTGGGTACACTCCACTATGCAACCTTAATTCTGGACTTAAAAGCGATATATGATAGGGTAGTATGATTATCACAAGAGTCATTCTGTTTTGAAGTTAAGTCTGTTTTTTTTCCTTAAGTCTGCCATTTAATCACCTCTTAAATAGCAATTCCTTCACTTCACTTGCAAGTCCCTTTTCACACATAGCTTCTTTTATTGCCAGCAGGTGATGTTTGTGGTCTAGTATAGGCTGCGATACTGATGTCAGACTTGGCTGAGAGATGTGGCTTGCAGGTACTGCTCTGCTTTCCAATTTCTCCTAGGGCTGTAGGTACCCTTCCTGGCTCTCGAGTAATTCGCAAGCATGGGACAGAAAAAAGGTAACTCAGCAGGTGTTGGAAACGGGTGAATCAGGCCAGGCACCTCAGAGAAGTAGAGAGTACTCACTCTTTCCTCCAACATGATGCACAGGAGGGAAAAACATACAGAAAACGTGATCATTCTGGCTCTACCTTCATTAGTTCTTGGGCAGGCAGGTCAGATTTTATGTGTACAGTATGTGGCTTGAACAGGATGACATCTGAAGCCATTATTAGATCTAAAATGCATCTTTGTCTTGATCAGGTACAACTTTTTATCTCCTGCCAGGTACAGAGAGGTGTGTGTTTGTGTCCTGAAGCTCTGTTATACTCTCCCAGGCCCTCTCTAAATTCCCTTGTGCTTATTTACCTCATTAAATATGCATATGTCTCAGCTATCAATAATTAGATTAAAGATTCTGCTCTCAGATTAAAGAATGATGGTGTCATAATATCAGCCCTTTCTTGAGTGCTTACAATAGGTTCCTTTTATGGCTTCTGTTTTTTACATTCATGGAGAAGAAGAGTTTCACATCACCTGCTTTTAAGCGTCCCCTCTTGAAGTAATGTAAGCATATGCTTAACATTTCACCTGCAAATCTCTTAAGAGTTCTCTGCATATGTAAAGCCTTAAAAAGGTCAGAAGAAAATATTAGGTCCTGGGGGGGGGGCGGTATCACATTTAACCAAGACTCCTGAGTAAAAGGAAGCAGCAATTTAAAGTTGGTCTCAGCAGCTTGTAGCTTCCCAGCTCACTCATTGATGCTACACCAAAAATAGTTGCTGTAGTGTCAGTGCTGAGCCCCAAAGGGCTTTCAGAGGCAAATCTTCCAGTGGATTGCTAGACTTTCCTTCTGAGGTGCCTGTGGGCACACTGGGACCCCCCAACCTTCAGGTTGACATAGTAACTACTTGCACTCTCCAAGGACCAAACTCAGCAATAAGAGTTTTATTGAAACCCTCATGAAGTAATAATGGTTAAGCCCCTGACCATAACTGAAATGTCAGCAGTGGAAACACGCCAGAGGCTTCATGAGAGAAAGGTCTCAAGGCCCACCGTGTAAAGATCACAGCCTCCGACCACTCAGGGCAATTCTCTGTCAGCTGGGGTCAGTGTTCATTTGTATTGACTCAACAGCAATAGACTTCAGAGTCTTCAGAATTAAAGTTCTGAGAACTGAGCTAAGTAGCCAGAGAGTTTCTGTATTACTGCTGGAAACTAGCCCTTCCCTGGACAGTGTCCCTTGTGTGGACCCCAGAGCAGGTGCTGTTGGGCATGCTCTGTGAAGTAGCGTAGATCATCTACCAGTGATGTCCCCATGGTGAGCTTCAGATTGCAGAGGAAGTCCTGCTGGAGCCTGGGTAGTGCTATTCCAACACACAGGCGTGCTCCCTGCATTGCAGGTGGTTCAAGCGAGGGAGGGACTACATGAGCTGTGAGAGGGACAGCTTCACCAGTGTTTTAGGAGACACCCTGTAATAAGACCCTCAGTGGCTCAGGCAAGATGTAGTCAGCATCCCAACTCTATGGTAGCCATAGGCTGTTGCACTCTTTTTTTTTTTATGAGAAACATTTGGCAAATGTTTCCTACAAAACTTTTCCCCAGATTAACTTTTCATTTGAAGGTAATTTCTTACAATTCCAAAGGAAACCTATTGTGCACCTTGGCAAAGAGGAAATACTCACACATATTTTATTGTTTTAGATGGGTCCCCTCAGAGAGAAGAGTCAGCTGTCCTTAAATTGTCAAGTGCTTATTTTCCTCAGGGTGCCTGGAATGTTGCAATCCAAAGAATGCCCCATTGCAAGGTGAACAAAATAAGAATCTTTATTTTTGTACTTCAAAAGAAAGTTAAAGGGGAAAAAAAATAACAATGTTCATTGTTGTAGTTGTTGTTGATTGCCTTGGAGTCAAGCACAACTCATAGTGACTCTATGAACAAAAGGACAGAAGCCCCTCTACAACTATAAACATTTATCAAAGTTTCCGGAGTCATGTTGTTTAGGAAGTAGACGCCACTCTTGCTTCCAAACAATATTTATATGGAAATTAAAACATGGAAGATCCAAATAAAACTCACACATAAAATACGTTTGCTTCTTTCTACACAGCATGAATTTAGAACAATTTCTAACGTGCCCTCTATTTGCCTGTACTTTGGTATGCCAGGAAGAGGGGAAGGAACATATAAAGTAATAGGAATTTGAATTACCAAGAAACGTTAGTATATAAAACTGCTTATTTCACTTTAAACCATTTGTATCTGGCTCAAAAGAGAAAATTTTGGTCCCTAAAAGTACTAATTGCTATTTTTCCATGCAGCTCTCTACAGTGTGGCCACGAGCAGGTGCCTGGCTAGGCAGGTGCTTTGGTCTCACATCCCATTTGAGCAAGTTCTTTCTGATTTCTTAGCAGAATGACCCATGGTCCTCAGATTAAACAAAGATAAGTTTAGAGATTCTGAAAGCACTTTGGGTAGGAAAAAATTATTCATATAATTTTTTAAAAAAAATTCAACAGAATAATCCAGTTCTGGCACCTCCCAGCCTAAGCAAGATGATTCAGATGGCAGGCGAGATTGCAGATGGCATGGCATACCTCAATGCCAACAAGTTTGTCCACAGAGACCTGGCTGCACGGAACTGCATGGTGGCTGAAGATTTCACCGTCAAAATCGGAGGTATGTCTTTAGCTGTCCAGGTCTGAGTAAGACCCCACAGCACACGGGGTCAAGAGACCTTGCTGGCAGTACGCTGGCCCAGATAGGGCTTTTGGTGCACTCATGAAGTACAGAGGCTTGGCCATCTCTTGCTGGACTGGCTGGAATCCTAACCATTCATTGGCATGGTGTTCCTGGTTGTAGGTAAGGGTGAGCCTTGACCTGAGCCTCTACTCATGACACCTGAGGCATCCCTTGGTAGGACATTGTCAGCCTTGGTTATGTGCAGACATAACTATGCCGATGCATGTGGGGGATTTAGGAATAAAAGATATCATCCAAACTGTCTGCTTTCCCAGCTTGTAGGGAGATGGTGCCCAGCCAGGGGTCCTCAAGTCTTCTAAGAGGTGAGGCAGTCTAGTGGTAAAGCAGGATGGTGACAGGGACATTTCACACCCATCACTGGGCAGTATCAATGTTCACCTCAAAAGAGAGCAGGGCTGAATTTCTGGTGACTGGTTAGGAATTCAGCTCGGCTGTAGGTATGTGTGTTGGGTTTGGGCCTTTGGTTTACCTAATAGAGACTGCTCATGAAATACACCTGCTTCCACTGGACTCCTCATCTGCCCATTCTGATCTAGTGGTCCAAGAAAATACCAGATTTTCATCCTGGGAAACTGCTTGCTAAGAAATATGGTTAAAATCAACCTCTTTATCTTGTTCTGGAATTTGTTCTGAAATTGTTCCCCTTCCTTTAGAAGTGCTGGTTTTTCCTTTGGTGATAATTTTTGAATGAAATGTTTGGGCCCTTTAGTGGAAAGTGAGCATCCTTTCCAGCATGACTTGTAAAAGGGGACATGACCTGTGAGAGAGGATGCTCCACCCCAGGGTCCCCAAGGACTGCTGTGGCAACCCGTGTTCTCTGCCCTCATTCTCCTGGGGGATCAGATTGTTCCATAAGATGACGCTCCATAGCAAGGAGTTTCGAGAGGCAGCTCAACCCCTTCTGCCACAAATGAGAGACTTTGGGGAGGCACTTCAAGTTCTTGAACCTAATTTTTTTACCTCTGAAATGGGGATACAGATATAACCAGCTGCAAGAGATGATTGGAAAGACATGATGTGACAAAGCACAGAGAACACGCTAGGAGGTGGCCTGTTCTCAGCACCTGCTGGTTCCTAACCACCTCCACCTCTTCTCCACCTGCTTCCTGGCAAGAGCCTGGGCCACACATCACAGTGCAGGGATTTCCCATACCAGGCTAAGTCAGTGGTCCACACATCACAGTGTGGGGGAGGGGTTTCCATTCCAGTCTAAGTCCAAATCAGTAAGAGTTTGCTCTCTGTGAGTTATAACAATTGTGACATTTTCTTTGTAATGTGGTTTTGTTTATAGAATTTTAGACACTTCATGTGTTTAGGAAGGGACTTTTTGTTTCCTACAGAATTTCTCTTTCCCCTTTTTTTGTGCAAGGTAAAATCATACCTGCTCATTTGCTTATCACTGAGCGCTACTGGAATGTTGTTAAAGCACTTGACTGTTAACCAGAAGGTTGGCAGTTCAGATCCACTCACCATTTCACAGGAGAAAGATATGACTATCTAGTTTTGTAAAGATTTAGAGTCTTGGAAAACCCTGTCCTACAGGGTCAAGCTGTAATCATCTTTGCACTGGGATTTAGTTTGGGAGTTAATTGCCAGATTAGATGTTAGCAGTTCACTTTTCTTCATTAGGGTTCAAAGTGGGTCCCCTCCCCCCAATGTCCAATTATTACAAGTAAGACAAGCCTTATTTCTGGAGGCACTTTGAAGGCCTTTAGCATATACAACTGACTAACATCCAGGAAATTTTGTTCTCTGGCTTTGCTTTTGTAGCTTTGCCTCTTTGCATAATTAAGAGACACATAAACATTTTGAAAAGTGTAGGAGAGACGAGAGTCCATTTAAGAAGCAGTTGTACAATTGAGTGGAAAATAAACATCTTGCAAAGAAGCAGTAATTTAGGATTTTAAAACAATCCCACCATTAGAAATAATTGTGTGATACCTTTTAGACATAGAAAAGATGGAAGACATTTTCAGAAAAGGCTACAGCGACTTAGTAAATAGCCTTTATCTGGTATCTTACTGTGCCCTTTCCCATCATAAGCTATTGCTCGAAGAACTCCCCCCACCATCTTAACCTTGCCTGGCAATGGAGCATTAGTGCTGCAAGACTAAAGGTATTTACACACTTCTGTCAATGTTACCAGATTTTCAAGCCAGTAATAACTGATTCTTAGTTTACACAATACAATACTTCAGTAAATAGAGGACTTGATAATGTTAAATGCACAAAGAGACTAACTCTTTAAAGACGCCAGATTAAGTATATGGAAGCAGAGATGGCTTGTCGCGTGAGCAGCGACCCCGACTGTGTGCACTCTAGAACATTGCAGGCATCAGTACTAGGCCTCGAGAAGTGGGACCCCTGGGGCTTGCCCAGGAACACAGTGTGAGTCCTCTCCCGCAGTGGTACATCTTTGTTGCTCCCTGTTGTTATGTGCCATTGAGTCAGAACCAACCCCTAGGTGACGCTTAAGGGGGTTTTCTGAAGCTGTAAATCGCACAGGAGGAAATTACTCATCTTTCTTCTGGGGAGCAGCTGGAGAATTTGGAATGCCTGACTTCAGGTTGGCACTTGAGCTCCATACCACGAGGCCACCAGAGCTCCATAGAGCTACTCAAACAGTGTGTCATCCCTTCTCTCACCTTACAGATTTTGGTATGACCAGAGATATCTATGAGACAGACTATTACCGCAAAGGAGGAAAGGGACTGCTGCCTGTGCGCTGGATGGCTCCTGAGTCACTCAAGGACGGGGTCTTCACCACTCATTCTGACGTCTGGTAATGACAGATTTGTTGGCTTTGTTTTGGGGTTATTCCACTTTCTGCCATGCAAGCCCATCACCAGCCAGCCTTTACCAATTCCATTGACCTCCATGTTTACAGTTCTCTGTTTTCACTCATTTCTAGCTTCTGATAACTGTTATGAAGGCCACACTGGATTGTGGTTTAATCCTGTTGCTAGCAGGCTAAGGGCAGGGGACAGTTTTGAGCCTCTGAGGAACCTGTGAGGTCAACATTTCTTTACATTATTAGCAGATACCTTTTCGGCTAAGTGGCCACTGAGACAGAACATGAGTCTGCCTGGCCTTTCTAGAACCTGTCTCTTCTCTCTAGTGCCTATTCTCCTATGAATAGACACTTTGTGGGTGCATGTAGTCACCTCCCCTATTTGAACCTCCAGATTATAGACAGTTCTTTATTTAGACTCAAAGTTTATGCATCTTATTTGTGTTTGCCTTCCACTTCCACCTGTTGTCTGTCCTATCGCAATGAGCATGTACAACTGTTGGACCCGGAGTGGTGAGACAAGCAAAATACCTCTTCTAATAACAGAAAATGTTTTGAGGTAGAAACTAAAGAAACAGAGGACTCAAAATAGTTTTGTTTATTGCACATCCCTAGCAACTTTGTAGAGAGATGGTGAAGTTCTGAAATATAAGTGGGGATGTTGGCAGGCTAAGGCCTTGGCACATCTCCCTCTAGACCATCAACTAGCTTTCTTAGATTTTCTCTCAAGAGATCCCACTGCTGATGGGTTACAGAGAAGGGAGTTGTTTACTCCAGCTATCTGTATGATCACATAGAGGAACTATTTCAATAGTGACCAACATTTTTCTGTATTGTAACCCTTTCACAGTACAAGGTCTTAGATCTTATTTTGAAGACAGGTTCAAGTTGGAAATAGTATTTGAATATGACCCAGAAAAATGTGATTTCTTCTTGAGCTGTAGTGGATTTGTTTTGCCATTAGCGTGTCCAGGATAGTTACCTTTTCACTGTCACACTAATGAACACAGCTCCATTTTTAGTACTAGGCATGAGGAGAGGACCACCTTGGGCATATGCATGTGGCTGTTTATTCTAGGTCTCATCTCTCCAAAAGCTTTGAGGTCATCTTAAAGTGGTGGTGGTGGTGGTGGTGTTATGTGCCTTCCAGTCGCCTGCGACTCATAGCGATCCTGTGTACAACAGCCCTAAACCCTATTCTGTCTTGTGCCAGTATTACTGTCTCTGACATACCTACCTCATTACTTCAGTTACTGAATCAGTCCATCTCATTGAGGGTCTTCCTCTCCTGTACTGACCCTCCACCCTCCCAAGCATGACATCCCTCTCCAAGGACTGGTCTTGCTTTGAAACATGTTCAAAGTATGTCAGATGAAGCTTCAGAATCCTTGCCTCCAAGGAGCAGCCTGGTTTCACCCCTCTCCAGGACAAACCTGTTTGTTGTTCTAGCAATCCATGGTATATTCAATACTCTTCTCCAGCACCACAGCTCAAAGGCATCAATTCTCTTTTCTCATCCCTAGACATTTTCCAGCTTTCTGATGCATAGCAAGTAATTGCAAAGACTATGGCCTGAATTAGGCGCACCTTAGTCTCCAGACTGGCATTGTTGCTCTTCGGTATTTTGGAGAGGTCTCTGACAGCAGACTTCTGTGAGATCCACAGAACTACAGAAGTAGGGTAGAGATATAGTTGTTAATATTAAATTGTTACATGTTGTTAATACTAAAGCTGTTAATATTTTACAGGCTTATTTTACCCCAATTCTGGCTAGGGACTATTGCTATGTTGTTGTTATGTGCCGTCAAGTTGTTTGCAACTCATAGCGACCCTATGTACAATAGCTCTGGAGTCTGCCCTATCTTGAGCCCACCTCACTGACTCTGATACACCCACTGTATCAATGTATCTCATCCAGGGTCTTCTTCCCCTGCACTGTACCTCCACCCTTCCAAGCTTGAGGTTCTTATCCAGGGACTGGTCTCTTCTGGCCATGTGCCCAAAGAATGTGAAATGGAGTTTAAGATCTTTACTATAAGTAGCAACAAAGAGAACTATGGTGGGTTTGATGACTGTTGTTATTATTATGTATTGTCAGGATGGAACCGACCCAACGCTGACTTTCCATGGGGTTTTCAGAGGCAGTTAATCACACACGAAGAGATTGCCCATCCTTCTCCTGCAGAGCAGCTGGTAGATTAGAACCACGTGCCTTAGGGTGTGGGTTTGATGACTACGCCACCATAATGAACTGTTGTTGTTGTTGTTGTTGTTGTTGTTGTTGTTGTTTAATGCCGTCGAGTCGTAGACGACTCATAGCGACCCTATGAACGAACAGCCTGAGCACTGTTCGTACATAGAGTTTCCGGAGGCAAGCCATTTCGGAAGTGAATGCCGCTCCTGCTTCCAGGCTTAATTTAGTCGGGAAGCTCCAGCCCACACTGTCCACCATGGGTGCCCATTACCACGATTGGCACATCGAAGAGATTGCCCATCCTTCTCCTGCAGAGCAGCTGGTAGATTAGAACCACATGCCTTAGGGTGTGGGTTTGATGACTACGCCAC